ACAAATACAAACACCACAAAAGGCAGTAGGGTTGTGCTGGAGTGTGCTCTCCGCGGCAATCCAAAACCATCTATAGAGTGGTATAAGAATGCACAGCTTATAGCATATGACAATAGAGTCAAAATCTTGGGAGAAGGCAATCTTGAAATCACTAGTGCGGTGYCCGATGATGATGGGGAATACAAATGTCAAGGATCGGCAGGCAGTCTAAGCGTGTACAAGTCTGTGACGCTGCAAGTTCACTGTAAGTAAAAACGATCTTTAGGAGATATTCTTGATAGGGTTAACCTCTTTTAAGAAAAATACACAGGTGATTATTGAAAATCTCGCACGCTGATGGGCCGAGAAACTCACACTATCAAACGATAATCACCTCCAGCGATAATCCAAAATGGCGGCCAGCCGCTTCGTTGCTGTTACTGGAAAAAATGTCTTTTATCTCCTTTTTTTTCTTTTTTTTTTGAAAGAATCACCTGTGTATTTATACTAAAACGATTATTCTCAGTGAATATCGGAGAATATTTACCTCGCCGCTAGTGTCTCGGTAAACATTCCTCGATATTCACTTCGCCTTCGGCAAATAATCGTAAAATATCTTTTTGCATATAATGCAAATGAATCCCAGGAGCAGGAGCACATTACCAATTAATTTTTTTTCCCTTCAGATCCTCCGACATTTACTTCCAAACCTTCAAACAAGAAAGCACATGTAGATGACACTGTAAAATTCAAGTGTGYCGTTGACGGCAGGCCAACGCCCAGCGTGAGTTGGTATAAAAATGGTTACAAGCTCCCACCCAGCACAGATTATATGCACTTCGCCCCTGGATCAATGACTGTAGAGATGGTGTTACCGTCCGATACTGGCATTTACCAGTGTGTCGCTAGTAATTATCTTGGGGAAGAGCAAGCATCCGCTGAGCTTTCTGTTTTTGAGAAAGGTTTGTTCGAGCTCAACTTTATTTATTTATTTACAATGTAAAACCAATGATGTAACAAAAGTGGGTTATGAAAATAGTGATGAGATGAAAAATGAATAATGATAAACGCATAAAATTACATGTTTTGAAAATTTTTAAAGAAATTCGATTTAAACTGAAAAATCTTAAGAGCATCGTTTGATATCATTACTTAGTTTGTTCCGTTCTTTCATGGATTAATAAGATGTCTTTTGGTTCCCCCAATTTGTTTTAACACTTGGCAAACGAAAAGTTATTTCACACGCTTAATACAATAACGATCAAAATAACAAAATTATACATTTAACAATAACTTACAAATTTCTCGCGCGCTGATTGGTTAATTTTTATCATCAATGAGAGGACAGACAGATAAAGCTGACGTCAACGAGCGCGCGCTCTTTCCGTTGGTTGTTTTGATCGCTAAAAATGAGATGTTTTTCTCGTTTTTGTTATTTTAAAAAACAAATAGACATCAGTTTTTAATGTGTCTGTCCTCTTATTGACGATAAATTTCGTCATCACATTGTCAAAGTAGGGTGGATCCACGAGGCGTAGCCGAGCAATTTATCGTCAATAAGAGGACAGACACAAAAAACTGATATCTATTTGTTAAATACATAACACACAATAATAGCAACAATCAAAAAATAAATCTCTTGTCGAGTCCAGTGTCCTGTCATTCTAACCCTTTCACTCTTTTGTCTTCTGATTGTTCCTTTTGTTTCCTTGCCTACCTTGTTCTCATTGGTTTCTYTTGTCTTGTTCTCAGTATATAAACACTCCTTTCTACCACCTCTTTCTCTTTTACTCCAACGAAGGACTAGCGTCCGAAACGTCAGTAAGTTTTTTCATCTTTTCACGGTGTATAATTTACCCTTTCACAGTAAACATTTTTCGTTCACACACATTCAATATATTAAATAAAATAAATGAATGAATGAATAAATGAATGAATGAATAAATAAATAAATGAATAAATAAATGAAATACAATAAATGGGATTTAGCAGTGGCATTTCTACAGAGTAGCTATTCATCCACTGTAATTCCAATTGGAATTTAGGAGTTGATTTTTGCGGAGGGAGGAAAGCCGGAGAACCCGGAAATCCCTTGAAGCACAGGAGAGAACCAACAAACAACTCTACTCACATACCACACCGAGCTCAGCGGGACTGGAACCCGGGTCGCATTGTTGACAGCGCGCACTCACCGTTACGCCACCCGTGCTTCCATATATTATGGACACAACACTCAACTCACATGTGGCTAGACATTGACCAGTGACCAGCTGTTATTTAAAGCGCTGCAATTTTCCTCGCAATTTTAATAGACTTCAATTTTTTCCCAATTAAAATTATTTGTTAAATTTGATCCAGGTATCCTCATTCCCACTGTTGCCCCAACAACAACAACACCGCCACCAACAACCACCATCCAACCAACCACTCTGCCAAAAACTATGACTCCACCATCCAGGCTACCTGGTAAGCCACAAAATGTGCGTGCAAAGACGCTTTCTTCTACAGAAATTGAAGTGTCCTGGGATCCACCACTCCAAACCAATGGGAAGATTCTATTTTACCACATCTTCTTTACCTATGCCGAGGGAGGTGGAGGTAGGTTCAAGTGTATTTTTATCAAGGGAAATTTGTTATTTTCAAAATCACTTGTATTTGAACATTGTAGTAGTATGGTTGAAGTATTTTTGTATGTGGACTTCTATTTTCAGAGATATAAACATTTGAAATATCAATATGCAAATGAGATGACGTAAATTCAAGAATGTGTTAAAGTTAAATATAATGTTTTGGTTTTCAAAGCCGGCACTCTTTGCTACTAGAAGATCAGAGCGCAGCAATGATGATAGACCACTCGCTAAATCCTCGAAAAGTCCTTTAATTGAAAACACGTTTTTAAGGGCGCTTGAAAAGCCCTTGAAAAAAGGGGAAAACGCCAAAGCTCCTGGAATACTCCTTGAATTTAATGCAAACTTAATGTTATTTCTAACTTACCTTTGAAAATAAATAACGATTAAAAATGATTGAAGCGTTTCTGGTTGCTTGTTTACTGGTTGGTTGCGTGTCATGATCGTATTTTATCTAGGCTTGTGGCCCCTGCTGAATTAGCTGCACTTTAACAATGAAACAATGTTTAAAACCACGTTCTAATACAAAAAAACGTTGTCCTTGAAACTCGAATTTTTGTGCTTGAAAAGTGCTYAAAACGTCCTTGAATTTTGTAACGAGAAAGTAGCACGAACCCTGTAGATTTGACTAATTATTCCGAATATTTGACGTGATGATGCAAACGATGATGTTTTAAATTAAAGTTAAATGTAATGTTTTGGTTTTCATATACAACTTAAAACCTAGTAGTGGCTCATTCAATCAGAACGCAGCATTGACGATAGACCACAAGCTAGATTCGACTAATTCCTAATATTTGATGTGATTTCCACAGGAAGCCCAATCGCAATTGTATACTGTTTGTCTTTCAGGAGTGGCAAGACTAGAAAACACAACAAAAACAAGCAAGATATTCAGAAATCTAAAACCCAACACAAAATTCAGGTTCCGGGTCTATGCTCAAAATTCTTATGGAACTGGGCCAATATCGTTTGACGCTATTGGACAAACAGCCCCAGCTGGGAAACCACCTGCAATGCCTACATCTTTGGTTGCCGTGCCATTATCATCCTCACAGATCAAAGTCCAGTGGGCGGAGCCACCGTCAGAGTAAGATAAATCATTTTGTACCCCAATCTCTTCCCTTTTTTATGGTTGTTTGTCATTACTTATATATTGATCCTTGATTAGAAAAGAGATCACAGAGTACTTTGTCGAATATCAAGAGGTTAGTCAAGCCAGTGGAGCAAAAACCAGCACCTTCACTCCTAACAGACAGCTCACACTCAAAGCTCTCAAGACATACACCCAGTACAAAATATGGGTGTATGCTGTAAATAAGGATGATGTCAAGAGCCAGCCTGCTGTTACTACTGCTACCACCTATGGAGGAGGTATGGTATTGTATGGGGAGGAAGGGGAATGGGTGGGGAAGAAGGTTGATGGGTGGGGTGGAAAGGGAATGTTTGGGTAGAAAAGGGAATGTATGGGTAGAAAAGGGAATGTATGGGTAGAAAAGGGAATGTATGGGTAGAAAAGGGAATGTATGGGTAGAAAAGGAAATGTATGGGTGGAAAAGGGAATGTATGGGTGGAAAAGGGAATGTATGGGTAGAAAAGGGAATGTATGGGTGGAAAAGGGAATGTATGGGTAGAAAAGGGAATGTTTGGGTAGAAAAGGGAATGTATGGGTAGAAAAAGAAATGAATGCTGTTAAGAAAAGTATCTTTTGGATGGAAAGGAAATAGAGTGAAATTAATGAAGGGCTATGTATAAAAAGAAGTGTTTAAGCTAAAAAGAGATATGGGGTGCTTACCATTTAACCCAAATCCATCCGGTTGGAAATTCGATTGCTAATGGTAAGAAAAGAGCGGTAAACTTCCGAAAAATGGTACACGCGTCTACCGGAAGTACCAAAAAGAGCGAGAAAAGTGGATTACCTCAATCGGAAGATCGAGCTTTCCGGAACTTTCCSATTTCCAACCGGAATTTCCAGTTTTTGCGGATAAACACGAAAAGCGCCCCTGTAACCCATACTAGGACCTGTAACTTACTCTTGCCTGATTATCTTCCAGTTCCCAAAGGAAAGCCACGAGGCCTCGTTGTCAAGGGTGACGGCACAGGGACAGGACTGCTCGTCACGTGGAAACCAGTCCATCACAGTCTGGTGAACGGGCGAATCACAAAGTATTTACTGGAATACAAAAGGAAGAACAGAAGGAAGATCAAACGGGTAGACTTGCCGGTATGTGTGGAACAAATGACTCTTATCACGTTAGCATGACATTGTAAGWTATTCGATTACAGCGATTTTCATGAACATGCTATCTCTGTGTCTCAGTGGTACACGCTGAAATTTGGTTTTTCGCTGCCGCCAGTCAAAAATATGAAAGGTACTGACTGATTAGGTTTGATTGACGGCAGCGAAAAATCAAATTTCAGCGTGCAGTTCAACACAGGCAAACACTGCCCGTCATGTTCTATCAGTCAAAGAGTATTCTATTGCTTGGTATCAATCAGCTGAATGAATCTCATTACCAACCATCCTACAATGACAGGCAAACACTGCCCGTCATGTTCTATCAGTCAAAGAGTATTCTATTGTTTGGTATCAATCAGCTGAATGAATCTCATTACCAGCTATCCTACAATGACAGGCTAACACTGCCCGTCATGTGCTATCAACCTGAGAGTATTCTATTGCTTGGTGTCAATCAGCTGAATGAATCTCATGAATCTCATTACCAGTCTACAATGACATGCAAACACTGCCCGTCATGTGCTATCAACCAGAGAGTATTCTATTGCTTGGTATCAATCAGTTGAATAAATCTCATTACCAGTCTACAATGACATGCAAACACTGCCCGTCATGTGCTATCAACCAGAGAGTATTCTATTGCTTGGTATCAATCAGTTGAATGAATCTCATTACCAGCCTAAAATGACAGGCTAACACTGCCCGTCATGTGCTATCAACCAGAGAGTATTCTATTGCTTGGTATCAATCAGTTGAATGAATCTCATTACCAGTCTACAATGACATGCAAACACTGCCCGTCATGTGCTATCAACCAGAGAGTATTCTATTGCTTGGTATCAATCAGCTGAATGAATCTCATTACCATCTTACAATGACATGCAAACACTGCCCGTCATGTGCTATCAACCWGAGAGTATTCTATTGCTTGGTATCAATCAGCTGAATGAATCTCATGAATCTCATTACCATCTTACAATGACAGGCAAACACTGCCTATCACCTGATATCAACCAGAGAGTACTCTATTGCTTTCATGACGTCTATTGATAGCAACTTAATAGTTAAAGTCACATAACCTCTTTTTCAGGCTTCTCCGTTGCATTACACTCTGATGAGATTAAACCGTAATACTGTGTATGAAGTGCGCATGACTGCTGGTACAGATTCTGGTCATGGGGATGCCACTCACTGGGTGCAAGCTAACACAAGCGTTACAAAGTGCTCAGGTAACAAGCAATAGCTACCTCACAGTTTGAAACTGGTTTTTAAAATAATTGGTATAGTACGCGCGCTAGGATTGGTCGAAAACCATGTTTGATGAGAGTATCAAAACACGCTATCGTCATTTTTAATCTATCGCGCGCGCTCATTGGTCAGTTTGAATAAGACGGCACGTAGGGAGAATTTACTTAGACTTTGCTTTTTTTCGATCTTTTCGCGCGTTTGTTATTTTATAAAGCAAATCAAAAACAGTTTTCTGTGTTTGATACTCTACGCGTCGTGGTTTCCTACGCTCCTCTCGTGTTCTCCCAACATCCCGCGTGTTTTGATCAGAGTATCAAACACGGAAAACTGTTTTTGATCTGTTAATTATAAAATGAGGAAGGACGGAGTTTTCAATCCGAATGGTTTACATAATACATGATGTGTATGGGAATGCATATGAAATATATATTTGTAATGCTGTTGTAATGTATCGAATAGACCTTTTCGGCTCTGACGTAATGTTTTCCCATTTCAGACCACGTGTCATTCCCTAGAGTATCATTTCTTTGTTTAAGGTTTGCGCTCGGTTGCACATTAGAAAACACATGAATGTGGATACAACTCAAACAAAGAATATTATTCTCAAGGGAATGACACGTGGTCTGAAATGGGACAACATTACGCCGAGCCGAGGAGGTTTATTGAGCTGATCCTCGCAGTATACCAAGCAACTTATGCAGCTGTAAATTGAAAGACTCGGAACAAATTCCGTGGTTTATATAATGTTGATTACTTTTACTATATGTTGGTAATAAGAATAATAATAATGATAAAATAATAATGGTGATAATGATAATGATAGAGTGAAGGCAT